TTTTTTTTTTTTTTTTTTTTTAGTGTTAGTCATTTTTTTACTATGCCTTCGAGGCTCACAATACTTTTATTCGATATTTGAGGATTCTATTGACATGGGTAAGTTTAAGGGCATGACTCTGATACTATATTAGATGAACACAACTCTCCACAATGGTATGATATTGTCCACTTTGAGTATAAGCTCTGCTTTTTCAAAAGACCTCATTCCAATGGAGATACTTCTCACCGACATTCAACCGGGCGCAGTGATGGGTGAGTGACGTTGAAAGTGAGTAAACCACGGTGGGTTTGTTTTGATTCGGAAATTGGAAGGTTTGTAGTAAAGTGGTGGCATGCAGAGGATAAGATAAGGAAGAAGGAAATTAATGAAGAGAGAGAAGGGTTTTGAAAATTGGCATGCAGTTCACCTGTCATGAAAGGGTGAGCCATGAAAGGTCATATCAGAAGCAGAGGAAGAAGAAGAAGAAGAAGAAGAAGAAGAAGAAGAAGAAGATATGGGTATGAAAGCTGAAAGAGAAAGGGAGACAAAAAGCTGAATATTTGGGATTTGGGTGAGGGATGGGCGCATCAAACTGTCGCCCTCTTACCATACATTTCATTTCTTAATACCAATAAAATTCATTTCTTAATACCAATAAAATTCATTTCTTAATACCAATAAAATTCATTTCTTAACACCAATAAAATTCATTTCTTAACAACAAACCTCACAAATGACACCTCCTTAACCGCACCATATGCGTCATATCGCTTCTTTTTTTTTTACCATTTTTACAATGCTATGTCCCCCCCTCACTTCTAATGTCTAAATTTAAGCTCTCCATGTTCTTAAATAATCAAACTAATTGAGTAATTAAAATCCCATATCATATAATTGTCATGTTTTTGTATATATATATGTGTGTGTGTTCCTCGAGCCACACCACAGGCATTGCTTATGTTTTGATTACATTTGACTAATCAAATCAATTGACATTTTCCAACATTACAGTCAACATGTTCCCTTGCTTTACTATATTTTAATTCAACTCATCCACGTTGTTGTACACATTATTGCCTCATTATTGTTTAAAAATAACCCTAAACCTTTACTCCTCGTCAAATCCAACAACCAAACATCGCTTAATATTATTAAGATTTTGATGTTTGGATGCGGCCCTACATCCCTCACATTACTTTTGAAATTAGTGTCACAGACCCATTTGACCGGGAATGAAACATTTCGTATAAAAGTGTGGAAATCTCTCTCTAATAGACACATTTTAAAACCGTAAGACTAATGATGATATGTAA